ACTTTATATCTCCCCTCTATAAACCTTAGGTGGTTAAGATATGCTTATTTAAACCCACGTCAAGAATCCCTGTGCCTAAATTTCCCAGTTTTACTATTGCTCATGCAGATTTAGTAGACATATCACTAAGTTAGCAGGTTATCTCTTCATGTTCTAATTTCAAACATTTCTCCATACCACGTAGTTTGATTGTGAGAGTTGTAATTCCATGTATACTACGAATTTGGCTATACTGTTTCGCAACAATTTTCATTGATATACTGCAAAGGAAAGTTGCTTTGACTGTGCATTCTATTAAATATAGTTCTGGATGCGATGCCTTACCTAGATTTTTCATAGCTGTTTGATTGCTTGTAAACATGAATTTTGCCTATAATTTCCTAGGTAACCGCATTCATTCCCTCCGTAATCCTCTTCCATAAACCTTATCTTTATCTCGAACGTGCTCAAAAGCAAAGATTTCATTATTCCCCACTTCTTTGTTTCGACAAACAAATATTGCCTCTGTTGTCACGTTTTATTTTTGGCCCATAAATGTCACAATTGCACCGGGCAGTCCGCTCTTTGAATGACATTTACCTACTTTCCTGTCGAATTCTTCTGTATCTAGGTTTATATCCTCAGATTCATTTAGTGTATCTGCAATGATTAAATAAATGCCAATTATCTAGCTATTTCAGTGTATAACGCCTATTTTTATTTGATTAAAAATAAAGTGAAATGTTTGCGTCCGAGGAGATACCGACAAATGATGAAATAACTCCGACATCTTAAGTTCAGTATGTTGAGTTCCTGTTGCATCTGCAAAAGCTTGTAGTTGAAACGAATACCAGGAAAGCCGAGCATCATAGACAACCGTGGAAGGCACTTCACACAGCAAAAGCAAAAATGTGAACTAAGTAAGTTATTGAAGAAGGTAAAAGGGAGACAAACAGACCTACCCTCTCATTTTGTTAGATTTACTACATTTACATTCCACTCCTGGAATATACATTGATTTGTTTGCTATTGCATGTTTGTGCTGTGAAACTACAGGGGTCACAGTACTACAGCGAAACAATCGATAACTCCCTCTTATGAACGTTAAAAACCCACTGATTTGTTAATTTTCGATAACGCTGCAAATCCACTCAAATGTACATGTAAAGCACTGCTTATTAACTCGTATAAATGTATGTAGAATATTCACTACAACACCAGACGCGTTGTTGTCAACAAAACTACTGCTACGATGGATGATTTTTTGCATACGTTACTGAATATTGCAGCAACAAAGATGTTGCTGCTCCGGTACCTTCAGGATCATCCGTCACCCCAGTAACTATTACGGTTGTAGATTTAAAAATCGGAGTCATTAAAGGTTTGAATAACTAGCTTTGGTCTAATCTTAACCCTGGTCTTGATAGTAAGACTTCAGTCATAATTAAGCATAATAGTGATGATATACCAGTACTATTACTGTATAATTTTCTCCCCACTTACTGTAGGATTAGTATCCTTAGAGATAGAAAAAATCAGTTATTTATACAGATTTTAGTCTTGGTCTAAAAAATAATGGTCATTATTGCCTTAAGTGTCACACCGCCATTCTAGAATGACTGATAGATAACTGTAAACGAACAACCCACTTATTTCCACTTATCGCACAGTATTCTTTCTCCTTCGCAGCATTGCTTTTTAAATTCTTGTTAGGGCATAAAATAGGTTGATTAGATAATCGCACCAGAGCGATTGACTCCAGTCTTCAAGGCATTACCCTATATCTTGACACTTTGAAAGTGTTCGATCTTCTCCCGCACAGGAGGTCGTTACAGAAATTTAGTAGTTTTGAAGTATATAATTCCCAACTTACAACGAATAAATAGTGGATTCTTTCATTGCGGGGTTTTAGGTTATCTTCATTTACAAACTTACCCAAATCATCTTATATTTATACAGTTCGGTGGCTCATACATGCTTGCAGGTGATAAAATGTTAGTATATTCTTAATAGTTAGCTCAATAAAAAGCAAGATAGAAAATATAAATATAATGTGTAAGCATTAGCAAGCTGGGTAGCAAAATGGCAGATGCAATTTCCTACACCAAAAGGAAATATCATGACTTATGGAAGTCGTAATGATGTAGTATTGTTTCTACTTCATACCGGTCTCATTACATTGTGCTATTATGTTAAAGCTTTAGGGTTGAAGTATTCTAGCAATTTAAATTTCAGCAAACATGCAAACTATATTGCTTCCAAGCAAATGCAAGATTTGGATCATTTAAGTCAGGTATAAACGTTCAAGAAGACATACATCGTGGCATAATACTCAATGTATTTCCCTTGTTAGAATGCTGTAACGTTCAGTTTAGCAAATTACCTGAAGTCCATATAAAATGTTCAACGCGCCTTCACCAAACGTGTTTTGGTTACGCTACACTTTTTCTTATAAATGTGCATGTGTTGAATTAAAGCTTTAGCAATTATGGCTGCGTAGATCACATTGTAATCTTAGATTACTCCACAAAGTTGTTTAGCATAAAGTGAGTATTAAAAACGCACTTCTCATTTTTGGTTGGAAACCATATATGAAATACGCGACACCGAATGTAGGGCTGCAATAGCTCTATTCAAGATTACGATCAGACAAAACTTCATTATTATATGATTCAGCCTGATATGGGACTAGCTAGCTAGTTATATATAATATGGAAACATTGTGAACCTATTCAGCAAAAGGATTAGGGTTTTCCTGACATCAGTAAAAGTAAGCTAGATCGTAATTTTGCAAGTGAAGGACGATAGATTGTTTTAGGGAGAATCGGGTCATATTTAAAGCAAAAGCTACGGCTGCAATTTGTCGAAGGTGATTAGTTTACTGCTGATTATCATTTCCATCATCAATTGAAAAAACTATATATTAAACTTTCTATATGCAACCAAGCATCACTTATTCCTTTCTATGTCTACACTGATCAAACGATAACATTTAGTTGCTTATCAATCGATTGTCTAAAATTAAGGAACTGATCGTCTTCCAATTCCTATGGTTTAAGTTGTTTGTCTTTTAGGGTAAAGCGACTTCAACTGCATTTTGACTACTTTTACTACTCTTTATTACTTGCGCATACCTGGCTGTAATGCAATACTTACTTTTCATGAAATTTCTGCACTAACCTCTTCATTCGCTAGGAATTCCCGTGGATTATTTATTGGCTTATCTGCAACAGGTGGTATTAGTATTATGCTAGTAGCTTTAACCTAACACACCAGTTAGACACTTAAGATTGCTCTCCCAACGTGACCTGAGATCGCTAGGAAATACAGGGAAATTGTTCTGTGCGGGACTTCAAATGCTCTGAGCATTACGACGCAGTTTATTCACATGGTCCGAAGAAACCGTACTTGCATATTCACCTTGCTCATTAGACAAATCCTTGAATATGGCGCCCCATCTTACCTTCTGGTAACCTAGTGGGAAATGGAAAAGCTGTAAATAATGCATCGCATGGTAACTGGAAGGATACCCAGTAAACGAAAGCTTCCGTAATAACAATGCTGTGAAATTGTTCTACTCTACACACTGATCTAACTCAGAGTAAGAAAACGCCTTATTATGAGCAATCGTGTACTACACTTAAATCATTTCCGCATACTGCGGACATAGTTTCGTCTCTAGAAACTATGTAACACTCGAAAACACTGTTACAAACTCCAGGTTTAATGCTTGAAATGGTATCTTGTCAACTACGAATAGAAAGGAGAATTTTAAACTTATGGACTGTTCTACCAGTAGGACTAGTAAATGCTGCTTTTCTGAAGTGTCTTAAAACACATCTGGACGAGTACCTACTGCTTAAACCAAAAGGCTACATAGCGAGACCAGGGGGTGTGTTCCCGAATGCCCAACCAGCTACATTTTGACTGTATTACGCATGCCTCAACACGAACGCTACAATCGATCAAAACTCTTTACGATTGATTAGCATGATATCTTAACACATTTTATTCTACCAGGGCAGTTAAGTAGTGCAATTTACCCGCAATTCATTAAAACTTTAGCTGCATTTGACTACTCTCCATAAGATACCAACCACTCACACATTACTAATAAAACGTTACAAATTTCGCATAGCCATAATTAGATTGCGTTTTTATGAAATAAAAAGGTAATACAATTTGGTTAGCGATTAACTAGCAGTGTCTCTGAAAGCTGTTATACACTTAACCTGGTTATAATTTATCCTTCATTGCCGCATCCTCATCCAAACTCCAACAAACGGTGTGACTATGTCAGTGATTGCCCCTCATTATGCCGCTTCAACAAGAGATAATGGGTAAACGATTTTGTCAAAATCCGCTGTTAATTATAACTTAACCCATATGATCACTGCGCCATGCCCATGGAAGTTCTAACAAACTGTATGCACTTTAGTTTGGCGCAATAATATTTGTAGGATCGGATAATACTATAGGGATGCGCCTCGATTTGTCGGGAATGTAAAATTTGCAAAATACAAAAGTCATCTGTTATTTTGTCATTAAGATGCGCGGGGCTAGTATTATTTACCACAGTAGGAAATTATCGTGTACATGATAGATTATATCTTTTCTCACGGGATCCCCACAAATTTCGAAGGCGCCGCCAGTATCAATAAATAACTGAAGGAATTCCGATTAAATATCCAAGTTTATGCCTAATATTTTGGCACAAATGAAATCAGAATGATACTGGCAGCGAACGCTGCGCGAAAGTTAAGTATCCAGTTAGATAACATAAAGGATGGAAGGACAGACAGGCGCGGCATTCTACCCCCGACTGCGCTGACCAGTATCAGAAGGTAATAGACGTTACATCCGTTTAGCACTTATTGGGCGCTAGTGAGTTAGTTAGTACTGGCGATGGTGTATCCATCTCTTAAAACTCGTTTCTGACTGGCTGTTGGAGCGAACTTGAGGAGAATGCTTACAAAGTGGACATTAGCTACCCTGAGTTGATATGCCGTGCATCGTCACCCGAATTACTCGCTTCCATGCTGCATGTGTCCTTAGGCACCGGTGATCTGTCGAATTTATGCATAGCTCCCCGGGTTGTATGAATCCGGTGTTAACAACAGCCGAGCGGATGACAGGACATGCTTTGTGAACTAAAGGAATTCTATCCGGTTTGGACTTGTGTAATGAAAAGCGCAACAGGTGATCTAAACTGGTAAGTTAAGTTGCCGGTTAACTAAAGACCTTTATGAGCAGGACAAATGCAAGGTATAAACGTTTGCCAAGCTGTGTTCGTAAAACGACATCACGACTTGGTCATTAGGGTTAAAAGTTTTTAAATGTGCAGTAAAGTGTGGTTACTGAGCTGGTACATCACAGATCACTTAACGTAAAACAATACATTGCTAATTTTGAAAAGGAAGCTTATAACAGTATTTTGTATACACGAGTAAACGTTTATGACTTATGCTCTTAGTCTGTTACCAGGGAATGTATATGTACACTAGTCAACTCCTGTCGAACAGTTGGAAATTATACAGCCTTCACACTGCTGTATCCTAAGTGATACTCCTCAATTTTATACATTCTTAGATTACAATGTTGCATACGGCTGTCTAATAGATGAATATACACAACAGTTATTATTTACGTTCTAAACGCACTTTTTTAACTGCACTGTTATAAGGTAATCGTACTATCGGTGCATGAAATCAGTTGACTTTCCAAGTCCTAATTAATTAACACTTAATAGATTCTGCACTGTGAAATTATGGTTGGTGTTAAGAAGTTCGTTTTGAATCAACAAGCTTATTAAGTTAGCTCGATGATAATGAAAGACCCAAATACCAGGTGTCACTCTGTCCGGGATTAAATGCAACCGTAGTAGTACTAAAGAACCATGTACCATAAATGACGTACCATTTAAAAAGTAATATAATACAAGGGCTTAATAACTTAAGCAAGATTCATAATGTTCTATAAGCGACATTGCTACTCATTGCGCTTAGTTTACCTTATATCGAAATAACTAGTATTCTCATTTATTTCACCATTTAAGTCAACAAATTTATGGCAAATTTGTTCACCAACTGTAAAGTAAGTTTTTGTATATAAAGTTTAAATTATATTGTGGAATCCTTGGGATTTTATATTGGCTCATGATCCGTGCTCAGGCGTAACTATACACTACTTATGTGTTTAGATGTCAATATGTGGGAGATATATAGCTTCGGTAATGGCCCGGCAAATCAGCATTCTTGTACGGTATATACACGTCTATCGCATTTCCACTTATATTGTTAACAATTCTACTTTATATATTACGACTCAAGAAATACAAATAACTGTAAAGCAGCGCAATTAACTATGAATAATTGTGAAATTCACAAATTAAGCGGAAAATAATTTTGTATAACGCAGTACGAAAAATGGTGGTATTTTTTAGACGGTACACTAATTATTTAAATGCATGAAAAATGCTTTACCGATGAAGTTAACACGCTGCATAATTAACTCATATTGTCAGTAACTTAATATACTTAACCATTAAATAAATAACTAAAGGTTATATTCCTCGGTGATACGAGGTGCCGTCCAACTAGTTGGTCTAACCAATGTGTACAAGAGGATGGCAAAAAATAATCAATTTGTTCACGCTTTTTACAATGGATCCGAAACAGGTACTAAAGCTATTGGCAGGATTAAGGCATTAAAGAAAATAAAAACACAAAGAAGAATAACATAAGAAGATTCAAACAGATGTCCATTTAAAGTATTGCGGCCACTCGTGGAACCATGCCCACGAGACTTTCTTCTATGCAAGGTATTCCTTCGAAGGGATCGCCCTAAATTCCATACAATCTAGGCCGCATGCTGGTGGGACATAGCAGCATAAGAGTCAACACCTGTTTGTCATCTGTTCTTTTTAGGGCTGATTAATACATGAATTATGAGCGGTGAAGCCTCAGCCCAGTCCATCATGCGGAACATTCAATTATGGCACTTTTTTATACGCCATTCAAACTGAGGCAATGTGCCTTGCATAGGTAAAGTCAGTTACAATCTGGAAGCTATAACCGGTCACCATAGGAGATCAGCCCAGTTGTGGCAGACAATGAGATAAAGAAGAATGTAGAAAGGAAGAAATAAGTGAAAGAGGTACTATATCGTTAGTGTAAAAAATAGGCAGGTATGTTTTGTACATTGGCGTAGAAATCGATCGAGCCGATCATAAGATAAATTGTGTAGCGTGACAGCCGGATACAGAAACTGTACGAGTTGTTCATAGGCAAAACTCGCATAGGGAATCAGTTATTGCCATCACTGAATTCAATTATATGTTTCTGTACTGTTAACTTCAGAAAAGAAGTTGAAATGGTTAGCACTGTAAAAGGAATGTAGCGAAGGCGATCGCAGAAAATAATACGAATTATTAAATTTTGGGGTAAATTATGAAAATGGTTCCTTATGTCATGCTGGTAAATAATTTGGCTCTCGGTTTTAAATAGGAGACAGATGGTGTGAATTAAGTTTAAAAGGAGTAAAACCGCATGTGAGATGGCATTAAAAAAGCGTAAGAAGCGGTTTGTAACAGCTTATCCTAGATGATCATGTTTTCTCTGGTGCATTCGAGTCGATGTTCTCCGGTATCATACAAGATCCGGCCCTTCTTCATACAGCTTTTCATCAACAAGATGAAATTTTAAGATCCGTTTCACTCTGTCCGTAGACAGATAAGCCTTTCTCATTTTATTGAACATGCAAAAATGTTCAATACATCTGATCACTTTTGGCAGCTTTTTCCATATGCAACCATACCTAAGAAAGTACAAATTTCTCCTTAAGCTGGCCTTGAATTTAGGTAAAGAGGATATACATTCACTATCTCTCAGTTCATAACTGGTATTTTCCCAAAAGTGTAATCTATAGGTTTCGGCTTATGCTTTCCGCTACGCGAGTTTATGGAAGAAGCACAGATTTAATTGCATTCTTCGTAACCACAGATGTTCAAGATTCAACTGTTTGCACTTATCTCTTTATGAAAGAGCAGTTGAATATGCAAATATGGCATCTTAAAGGTGCGTTTGACGTTTTCAATGGCTCTTAAGTCAGCCTTACGAAAATTACTGAACACAGCACAGCAATATTCAAGAAAAGGCCAGATATTGATTTTGAAACCAATTCGTCTTGTTTCTTTCAAAGTTAGCAGGTGGCATATGAGCCCCACCGACTGCTTAGCCTTTTCCACGATATGATTTGTATGCTCGCTATAGTTTAACGAACTAGAATATCTTAAACCTAAGTCACGAACAGACTGGCTGATGGGAATGACTACATCAAGAAGCCTAAACACTTCTGCTGCTATCTGACATCCATACGATAGAATATTACAATTCGATGTTACAAATGTCATCTGCCACACATCAGCCCATCTCTCAATGGCTTTCAAGTCACTTTAGATATTGTTAACTTCAGCGGTACGCTGAAAACCTGGGAACGTGGTAAACCACCTTTATTTAATCGGCAAACAAATAAGGCTTTCCAAGTTGTATAACAGATACGAGATAATTTATATAGAGTAAGAAGGGTGATGGACCTAAGACACTGCCCTGTACCACTCCACTGGTGACCAGACGAGGTGAAGAGATGTAACCATTGATATCCACAACTTGCGACCGTCCTACTAGGTACGATTTTATCCAAGAGTTAAGCGGATTTGTAACACCGTACTTACTTAATTTATATAGCAGCTTCTTGTGTGGAACGCTGCAAATGCTTTTTGCCTGTCAAGCCAGGTGGCAATGCATTGAAGACCTGAGTCAATTTGTTCAGGTAGATGATTAAAGAAGTCAACTGGACAGGTAACACACGAGTTGAACTTTAGAAAGCCATGCTTTAAATGTGAGAGATGTTTGTGCGATATTAGGAAAGAAACCAAATATTCCTTAACTATTCTCTCTAGCAAGCGTGAGAGAATGGCTGTGACAAATGCGGCCGTATTTCCTCATGTCAGGTTTCCTCTCGGACTTATGTCGCGGTATAATGGTAGCCGTTTTCCAACGTTCGGGATATTGACCAGACTGGAGAGACAAAGAGAAGATATTTAATAATGTAAGAGGGGTATCATCTCCACCGTGTTTAACTAAAGCAGAAGCGATCCCATCGGGTCAGGTCTGTAGGATGGTCGCACACAGGTAATCATACATTTTACCTAGCGAGACTAAGCTCTATCGCTGAGACTTGTTCAGAGAACTGAAATGAGGTAGACAATTCTAGGTTTTCTTTTGCACGGTTACAGGATCTAGCAAAGCATGCGATAAAGGCTTCTGACATGGCGATTGCGGAATGAATGCATTCGCCATCAGACAGGAAATGTGGGAGGTTAGGTCGGTTTTTCCCCCTCTTCATTTTCTCAGTATTGCAGTCACTAGTTGACTTATATTACTATTATTTACAACCCTTTGATCTTCCTGTATAAGACGGGTTTGGTGTTTCATGTCCGTCTCTATTCTAAGACGACGGAGTCTCAGTAATAACCTGAAGTGTTGAGTATGATTATTTGTTCGAGTTAACACTCGTATTTTCCGCTTGTACTTTGTGTTTTAGCGTACTTAGAAGAGGCTCTCGTATTAGCAGCAAATGCAAGTATGCTTTAGCATTTAGTCACATTGTCGTAGAAGATATCGGAGGCTCCCTTAATGTCAGACGAAAGAAAGAAATGCTCCTAATTTTGGACCCTAAGCAAAGCGGAGAAATCTACCCAATTATCATTTCGCAAGTAGTGTGGAAAGACCGCAGACCTCACGTGCGACGACTTAACTATAGTTTTACATCCGACTATTTTTTGATCACATCCAGGGAGACCGTCAATTATATTAAATATGACAGGTTCAAACCTAAGTAATTGAAATATAATGTGCGATTTTTCTGATTTTATCACAATCTTGGGGCACATAATATATTTAAATGCCGTTTTTAAAATATCTGTTTTAGACTGGGTCAGCTATTAAAACTCAAAATCAAGCATTAAACTATGACATTGGATTGTTTTTGAATTACTTATTACGTTGGCTTGTCGAGTTAATTTTGTTAGCTTACAGAATACATAGCCTAGTTTTTGTGTGCGTTTTAAAATTTTTAGCATTTAGGTGTTCATTCTGCTTGTATTTCATGCAACATATTTGAAACATCTGCGCACGAGCTTTCTTTTGATAA